TAATGCATTTACATTCGTTAAAGCATTTCTCATATCTTCCTCTTGACCTACGAAATGAATCTTAATAAAAAAAGTTATACGTTATTTTTAAACGTGTGATGACTTCAGTTAGACTTCTAGCTGAGTTCAAAAATACTGTGAAATTCAATACATTTTTGAATGCATTCAATTGTTATATATATGTTACTATTTAATCTATATTATATCTATTTTTTTCTATAGTTTATGTGATTCTATTGAGAAAATAATTCCTCCGCGGATGTGCACACACGTTTGCGTCGCGACAAGGCGCTGACGTAGAGTGCTTTGTCACAGTCTCGCTCCTCAGCATTGGGCCGTGGTGTTACCGAGGCTGCGTTAGCCGCTAACGGTTGTTTGTCCGATGAAGATGGCCGCAGATCCTCTCTCTGTTTCTTCTAACCAGTCCAACAACGATGGCATCCTCATCGGTGACAAACTCTACTCGGAAGTTTACCTAACGATAGACAACTCGGTGATACCAGATGAAAGGCTCTCACCAACACCCTCAATGCTCGACGGCCTCGACCTGAACACCGAAACCGACCTCCGTATCCTTGGCTGTGAACTGATTCAGTCGGCGGGTATTCTCCTACGGTTACCTCAGGTACAGATATATATGTGTTGTGGTTTGATGTATACATGTCAAGAAGCATGTTTACGAAGTTGCGGCCTAGTTATATGGCTAACTCATTAGCCTTTTTACGTTGGCGTGGTGAAATTAAAATGGCGGCGGGCCATTGTGCAAGGTTAGGCCGGTTTACATAAGAGATGGTATTATTAACATGTCCTGTTTTCCTCTCGCAGGTGGCCATGGCAACGGGGCAGGTCCTTTTCCATCGGTTCTTCTACTCCAAGTCCTTCGTTAAGCACAGTTTCGAGGTAAGTTTTGGTAGTTCATTGAGTTCTTCAGCCTCCGGAGATGACAACTGAACGTTACAGTGACGTTCAGCGGCAGCCATATTGTGAATTTTGAAATACATAGCGGAAGTGAACAAGTAGATAAGAAGTAAGACATTACCCTGTCGTATTGCGCCTTCGTGTGGCATCGTAATTATCGTTAATTCCAACAGCCGACATGAAAATCACACCTGGACAGCCATTTATGTTATAATTTCCACTCTAAAGCGAAGACAATTATATGCTACCCGAGGTATAGTAAACTGTGACCGTTCAACATGGCGGAGAGCAGCGAAATGATTCTGTTTGGTGAATAGTGAATATCTCATTCGCTAGTTTACATAACAATGTTTTGGATAAACAGTAGACCTGCATCTTGACTGTATAACACAAAGATAAATATGGTTCACTAACTAGAAGTTGTCAGATTCTGGGTAGAAATTCACTAGGAACCAGGAGTTCAATTTCACTGGTGTCCAGGACAGATACTCAAAAATATATTCACCTATAGTTTCCTGTGAACAAAAACTTCCTTAATATGAACACATCAGTCATTTGTATGCAAATAAACACCCCTTTTGGTGTTTGTAAAAATAAAGATATTAAGAATCCTAGGAGTATATGGTTGGTGTACAATATATCTTCTAAACCCTCCCATTCAGCTGAGGTAGAAATGTCTATTATGTTTTTAATAGACATCCATGAGCCTTAAAACAGCTGATCAAAATGATTGTCCTAAAGGGAATTATGGAACTATTATAGGCTTGGAAAGTTATTTGTAGTGTACCTTCAACATTATATATTAAATACTGCTAATATTTTGAACCGGAAAGTTGATCTCTTATTCCTTCAACCTCTCTGCCTTATTTTTGTCTTTCAGATTGTTGCAATGGCTTGTATCAACTTGGCCTCAAAGATCGAAGAGGCACCACGACGAATACGAGACGTCATCAATGTTTTTCATCACCTCAGACAGCTTAGAGGCAAAAAGTAAGTATCAGCCTTACACTTAATATATTTGTTTTATTTTAAAAAATTTTTTTACGTAGAAACTATGGTGTACTGCATATAATTGGTGTCAAATGTTGTCTGGTGATTTGTTCTTACTGTGAAAGTGCCCTTTGTTTATCATGCACTCTAAACTCTTAAATCTTTTCAGTTCCAGCCTCACTGGTAGTTTCAAACTGTTATTGTCTACATGTAACATCAGTTTGACAAATGACTGAAGTTGATAATGGAAAAAAAACATCAAATTAAAAAACAAATAAAAAGAACACATTTGGTTTTTGTAAAGGATGAGGCATTTGTACTTTGCCTCATTTCTTTATGTCATCATTTTATTCCTTGGCATTAACTTGGCTTCTTTTCTCCCTTGCAACCAACTAACAGCGACCAGCTACATTTACCAAATCCTGGGTGATGTGGAATGGTACGTAAGATGAAGCAGTCGGCATGACAACCATGATGCGAGGGGGTCTCTGTCGTCCCCCCAGGCCCACCCCGCCCCCACCTGTGGGAGACTACCATGGTCTGAGCCACCGCGGGGCACTGGGATCGGGGATGGCAGGTTGGCCGAAGGTCCTTGGCCCATGGGGCAGCTTGAGGACTCCTGTGGTTCAGTCTTAAGCTTGGGGTTTCTGTCTGCCAAGCTGTGGACCATGGGGTAAAGTAGCTTTCTTCTCTGACAGCTTCACACCATGCATTTTGATTGTCCAAAAAAGAAACAAGAGTTCATTCATTTTTATAACCCATGGCTTCTTCAGAAATATCTACATGTTTATAAATGAGATTCCCCCCATAGAAAAGATTCTATTGTCAGGGAAGTGCATATATTTTAGATATTTTTATTTATTTTTTGTTAGATATGTTTTTTGTATCACTAAATAAAATTAGGTAGCTTTCCATAATTGGTGTTTGATATGAATGTACACACACCATCCTGTATTTCGTATACTAGTTTATTTTTCACCTACTTTGTATTGCGTGTTTTATATATGTCATTTTAATCGTTTTTTTTATTGGACTTGAAAACATCAGTTTAAGATATAAAAATAGTTTTCTGACACTAGAGTTCTGTACATAATTGGTCTGTCTAACAGTTCTAGATGTTAAAAATGGATTAAAAGCAATCTTTTGACAGGAGATGTAAAGGAGAGGGTGACATAAATAGATAAAAATGTGATTTTTTTTTTCTAGTTTGAAATAACTTTTCTAGTCTGTTTGCATTGGCTATTTTTTATTTTATTTTTTTCAAGTTCAGTTATTTTATGGGTGCTTAAGGCTGTCTAACTTGGTTTAGTAATTTATTAGAGAGGGGTATTTCTGAACGAATTTAGGGAATTAGTTCCATTTTATGAGCTCATAGATCCAATTTTAATTGTTTTGCTGTTATACTGCTCTTTAGAGTTAAAGTAGATATTTCTGTTGAAGCGATGGCATTGGATGATCATATTGAGGACAATCCCTCAAGCTTTCACTGAAACCACAAGAGTCCACAAGCCCCCAGCACACTGTTAGGCATGCAAACAGTGTAACTTGTTGCTTTTAGTTGGTTGGCACAGGGAAAAAAGGGCAAGAATCCAAAAGGGCACTTTCTCTTTCATACATTGACTGTGAAAGGGGAGCCATTCTTTTATGTTGAATTTTTTTATAACATAGGACTCCAAGTCCATTGGTACTTGATCAGAACTACATAAATACCAAAAACCAAGTCATCAAGGCAGAGCGACGAGTCTTGAAGGAACTGGGCTTCTGTGTGCATGTCAAGCATCCACACAAGGTATACAATTTAATGGCTTTTATTTTTTGTTTATTAGAGACAAAGTAAAATATTCACATTTTTCTCTGAACAGTTCAGGGTTCTGTTAAATATACTTTTTTATGTGATTTTCAGATTGTTGTTATGTACCTTCAGTTCCTGGAATGTGAGAAGAACCAGACTCTCGTCCAAACAGCCTGGTAAGTTAATTTATAGATCCTCACAGAAAATCCCCACAGCAGCAAGCTTTGCCAGAACTGTCAGAAGTGCTGCCAGACCTGGGCGTAAGGTGGAGTTGAACAAATTGTCCAATGAATCAGCCTGATATTTTTAAAGGGCCCCATTGGAAGACATCAATAATGCTATCTAGAAATGCTTGCAATAAAGTGTACAAAATAAAACTGTTAGCTTTGCCCAGGTCTGAGAGTAATACTTCATAGTTTTGATCAACTTCTACAACCTCCTATTTTCTATTTATTTTTACTTCTTTGTGTAATTAGTTCATTTTTTCGGGGGATGTAGCAGCTTCTTGTACAGCAAACGTGCTACTTGTCTCACTTTCTAATCTGCCCTTACATGTGAGAGTGTTTATTTGATGGTGCCCAGGGAACTTGGTTTAACTTTGTCCTTTCTCTCTACTCTTTGATTAAAGGGTAGTCCATGCTGGTAAGTCACATAAAGAACCTCTGAACTCTGCCTCCTCCAACCACATGACCTCAGGAAGCTCCCCCTATTGGCTGGCTGCCCCTCTCCTGACAGCCAGTCCCAGTGCAAGATTCACTGAAGGGGGCGGGCGGGCCTTTCCCAACAGCCAGCATCGCCTTGTTTTCTCTTGGGTGTCCAACAGGATTTGTATTTTTATGGTCTTGCTACAAAGATTCTCAACTGTAATAGCTCTCTTGCCAAGCTAATCTTGTTCTAGTTTACTTACATTTATACATGAAGTAAACTCAGTCAGAACAGAATATGATTTCTATTGGCCAGATAACCTGCCTGCTTTTTACATTTAGCAGTAGAATACTGTGTCTTGTCCCCAACTGACATGGTGTCCAGACATGTCTGTTTTTCAGGCTGATCCGGTTCTCATGGTTTGGCTTCAAGGACTCGTCTCATCCATGCAGCAAACAGAACCGAATGGCCATGTGTTATCTGTAGTAGTGTTAAAGCATTTTCGCTCTGGTCAGTTATGGAAGGCAGGTTTGAATGAAGGACACCTGTGTACGGTAGTTTTCACCAGTAATGGTGAAACCAGATAGAAAAAAAAAGGACAAGAGCTTGACAATCCAAGTATTATACATCCTCCTTAGTGGTTTCCTTTGGTAAGGAACCAAAAGGGATTTTACTAAAGGCTTTTGGCATAATTTTTCATGCTAAATTTCTATATAATAATATTAGATTTTCTGAGACATTTTTTTAACAATCATCAAAGGCCTGATTTGCATCCCAGGTAGCTTTGACAAACACCTTTGCTCCAGTCGAAGTCTCAGACGTCAGCGTAGACAGACATGTCATTTAATGTTTCTTTCCACTAAGTACATTATCTGGCGGCTATCACCTATATTTCATATCTTTGCTCAAAACCATCCCCTGATCCTCCAACATGATGGTCCATAAACTTCACAATGCTTCTGAATCATAAGCATTTACCCCTGCATGCCTCCACACACAAACACCATGCTTTTTTTCTTTCAGATCCAAACATCTGAAAGTCAAACTAGCTTTTTATTTATTTATTTTTTTATGTATTATATTTTCCATTGTCTTTGCATGTCTCCCTTCTTAGAGAGCATGTGTCTGTGTCAGCATCAAACATCTGGAAAGTTAAAGTTCATAATTCTTGTCTTCATGCTTTGTGTGACATTCAGCGCTCCCATGGACGAACCTGAAGAGAATTGGACAAAGTTAAACCTGGTTAAGGGGATCCTATGTGTTAACATGTAGTTCTATTCATATTTAGAGGGAAGCAGGGCTTATTTTCATTTCACGACACTTTAAAGATTGATAATTTTGCAGAATTTTATTGAGAAGGTTTGAATAAGGAAAACAGTAAAAAAAAAAAAGCCCTGATTAATGGTAGATAAATGTTCCAGTTTGATAATCAGTCTGAAGTTGTTTGTTGCAGTATGTCTGAAAGTGGTTGACAGCTTTGTGTGTATAGCGACGATGCTATGTTTTTGTTTGTGTTTTCTGTTTGTCCTTTTAGGAACTACATGAACGACAGCCTGAGGACGAATGTGTTTGTGCGGTTCCAGCCTGAAACCATCGCCTGTGCCTGTATGTACCTCGCTGCCCGAGCCCTGCAGGTAAATTCCGTCTCAAAGCTGCTTCTTCAGCCTGTTTTTCCTCTAAACCTCATCACAAAAAATATGAATAATTTATAGCACAATCTGATGTTAATGGAAATGTGTGCATGTTTTTGCCAGATTCCCCTGCCAACCAGGCCTCATTGGTATTTGCTGTTTGGAGCCACAGAAGAAGAGATTAAAGAGATCTGCATTACGACCCTGAAACTCTACACCAGGAAAAAGGTAAAAGAAAAAAAGAATTATTTTTGGGTTACCTCATATAGCTGTTTTAAAACCCTCAAGACATAGTTGTGACTCAATATTTTGATTGAGTTAAAATTTCTAAACTCAAGACCACATAGAAACTGCTGTAATTTAGCAGTCTGCTCTCTGCTGTTCCAGAAGCTTTAGGTCTTTGTATCGTTTTACCTCATCATCCCATCGTCTTTAAGCTGTCCATTAATCTGTTTATTTTTCCAGTTCATATAGCTAACCGTTGCATTAAAATAATGCCTCATCTTGTGTTCTTTTTTTACATTTGCTTGAAGCAACACTGGGTAACTTTAGACCCAAACATTGGCTTATTTTGAGTTATTTAATGATTTCTATTTCAGTTATTGTTGTATTATTATTTTTGATCTTCTGTGCCCTGATCAAAAATGGCTTGGTAACTTGAGGGTTGGATCTGTCAGTCAAACAGTCATGATACCCTGAGTGCCCATTTAGGATAGTTTAAGCTCCCCTGAAACATGAGAGCTTGGCTAAAAGTGGTTGCTATGCAACAAAACAAATGACACTTACCTGCTCAAACATGGTTTTGCTTCTCTGATGAAGGAATTTGATCTAGAGGTCCTAATGTGACCTTTTCTTTACAACCAACTTCACAACTTCTCAGTCTAACGGTCCAAAGTTGACTGATAGCAGATTCCTAAACAGTGAGAGAGACTGTAAAAGTCCTATAAGAGACTATTTGATAGAAACAGTGTTTGGGCCATTTTTGTTAAATGAACTGTTTTGTGCTTCCAGCCTAATTATGAGCAGCTCGAAAAAGAGGTGGAGCGACGGAAGGTGTTCTTAGCAGAGGCCAAACTGAAGGCAAAGGGCCTGAACCCGGATGGTACACCTGCTCTGTCTGCTATAGGAGGCTTCTCTCCTGCCTCCAAGCCCTGCTCCCCAAATGTGGTTAAAGTGGAGGAGAAATCCCCAAATCCTCAGACCAACAAACCGATAAAGAAGGAGACAGACAGCCGCACTCAGGTCAACAAGAGTCCACATAATGGGTAAGAAAGCAACAAGCTCATTCCAAGGTAAATGTTGTCCATTTACTGGCTATTTAGTTTAGATTTGATCTGTTTGTCTTGCAGACTGAGGAAAGAAGGAAAGATCGGACGGACTAGTAGAAGTGGAAGTCGTTCGCGTTCAAGAACACGATCACGGTCAAGATCTCCATCTCATCGCAGACAGTAAGTTTCCTTCTGTTATCGACAGATTAATCGATTAGCAAAAAATTTTTTTTTCAAATAATCAATTGATAATCGGATAGTAAAAGGTTCTCTAAAGATTTTTTTTTAACCAGGTTGAAACTAAAATGAATAAAAGAATAATTTTTTATCTCAAGTGTTAAATGTGTATATATATATATATATATATATATATATATATATATATATATATATATATAACCAATCTTGGTTTAAAAACTGGGTTGCTCTGTCAGCTTAAAAAGTACATTATAGTCTCTTTACTCCAGTTAACAATCGATTGCTAAATTAGTTGATGATTATTTAAATTTATTAATCATGATTCATCATCATTGACTTCTCCCACATGTACAGATCATTGTTTGATTCTGAATCAAAGTCAAATGTTGACACTGTTTGTGCTTTCAGTTACAACAGCAGACGCAGTCGCTCAGGGACGTACAGCTCTCGGTCACGCTCGCGCTCTCACAGTCGAAGCCCGCTGCTCCATCGACACCCGCCCTCACCACTTCTGCCTCATCTCAAGTCCAAGTCCAGTCACCATGGGAATAGCGACTCCAAACTCAGCGGGCGCCATAGCAACAGCGGAGGAGGTGGTTCTGGTCACAAGAGGAAACGCTCTCGGTCACGATCCCGCACTCCCGTCAAAGCGGACAGGGACAGAGAGAGAGAGCGGGACAGAGAGAGAGACCGCTCTTTTGATTTCTCCTCAAAGAAACACAAACATGAGCGGGGAGGCAGCCATCGTGACCGAAGGGAGAGGTCAAGGTCTTATGAAAGGGACCGGGAGCGTAGCCACAAGAGCAAACACCACAGCAGCAGCGGACACTCAGGACACAGCCGCCACCGGCGCTAAGAGACTGTCCCAAAGAGATGAGCCCCGGGGCTGACCGCCACCAACCACTTCCACGTGTTCTCCTAATTATGGCGGCTATTAAGAGCTCTCGTCAATTTGTCAGGAGATAAAGATTAGCAAAAGGAATCAAGATGTTGACCCAAAAATGTAAAATAACCAAATATTGAAGAAAATCCTGGGTAAACAGTTTGGCGAATCAAGTATTAAAACCAGTGTACTATAACTGGGAGAACATGTGAGGTTTGCTTTTAGGATATTTAACAACCATTCCACACAAAGACGTCTTGCCTCTGACTGAGTTCAGCCATATTTTTGGTTTATTGATCACTCCTCTCTTGGTCCAGTTAATAATCTGAACCTTGACAAATCCCCAAAAAGGGTCCTACATGCAGTATCTGCACGGATAAACGGCTGCAGCTTCTCAGTACACGTCGAAGGTGGATCCTTCTGTCACGGCGAGACCCAGCATCAGGCGGCCGCCGCGTTGGTTGGCGGCAGCAGTGCGAAATCAGCCCCCGGACTCAACTTTATTTTCCTGTGATTTGTTTTTGTCCCAGAAACAAGCGCACCCTGTCCGACTGCCTGACATAATCTTTTTAGTTTTATATGTAAAGTTGCAAATTTTTGGAAAAAAAAACAAACAAAACTTATTTACAGTGTAAAGCTTTGATATCCACTGATAAAATGTTGAACGCTTTGATTTATAGAAGCGACCTGTTCGGTGGAAGGATTGAATGAATAAATGTAAAATAAATGTTATTCAGGAAAGATCAATAAGTTTGCACATTGCAGGACTAGTGGGCTGTTTTCCTTGTTTCCTTTTTTTATTGGACAGATTTACGTTAAAGATGAAATGGTAACTTGTTTTTTTTTTTTTTTTTTTTTTCCAAGCAGAAAAATCAGACAGTTAAAGTATATTTTAGGGTTGTCAATTTGTTACACTGGTTTTTAGTGTGCACGTCTTCATGTCCAATTTTTATTCATTAATAAATGAGGAATGCCACTGAGCTATGTTCCTGTCTTTGGGTTAATGCTTCTAAATAAAAAGCTGTTCTCAACAAATTGACATCAGTAATTTTAGTTTTGTAGTGCAATAGTCCTTTTCTTTAGTGGTTCTTAGGAATCTTAGGATTGTTTCCCGGAACTATCCTTTTCAAACTAATAAAATGTTCAGTTTGGTATAATGTGAGCTGTAACTCAACCAAAAAAAACAAAGTTTTGTCCACCAGAGGGTGCTGTGATCTCAGAATTTTTTTTTCCTCCTGCAGATTTTTGCTGGAGGAAGAAAATATTTTAAGAAATCTAGAAACATAACTATTAAAAAGTAATACTAATTGAAAAATACTGATATAGTTTGCATTCCTTGAAACTCTACTCCATTATGGTTATAATAAATAAAAAACATTCAGTAATTCAATGTTTGATAGCTTTAATAGAAGGTCAACGAAATAAGTTCTTGTACTTGTTCTGTTCACATGCAGGAACTCTGAAAAGGACCTGATAGAAGAAAGTGATACGCTGAAGATTGATGTGGTTCTGAGATGATTTTCTGCTCATTGTTTCATTGAAGATCTCCCATCTTCATGGTGATTTTGGCCTTCATTTTGACAGGTGACCAAACCAGGCAAAAAAATCCCTACCTAATGATCCTGTGGATTACAGTTGGGTAAAATAGCAGCATGACTTTGACACCCAGGGCCCTCACCCGCCGCAGAAAGTCTATTCCAATATATTTACAATCTTTTGAATGTGGATAACGACGCTGATTGATTCTATAGATAAGTGTGATAAGTGTCTAGACAGAATAGCTGTCATCTTAAATTTTAACATGTTATATGTTACAGCTGCCATTGTTTGTCTATAAGGTGAGTATAAGAAGACTGTTGGTAAAGCAAACTGGGCCCAGTTTCCTTAAATATTTAATAACATGTAGCTTTATGAAATATTTTACTGTAATGAGAGAAAAGAAAGCTCTAAGCCAGAGGTGTTCAACGTTTTCCAGGCCAAGGACCCCCAAACTGAAGGCATGATGGAGCATGAACCCCCTTATTATATATATTATATGAAATTGTGTTATATCAAACTGGTTCTATAGTCACTCTATTATAGATGGAGTAATGCAATAAAAGTAATTTCTCCCTGGAATTAACATATTTCTGATTCTGGTTCCT